AAACTAGTTGAAATTACAAAAATGACACAACATTCAATTAAACCTAGTGGCAACAGTAGATGGATCACATACACTCAAATCATCATCTTGATCTATGTCAAATGTCTCTAAGTCATCTTCAGTTTCAAATTTTCAATCTGTTCTCCAATATCAACTATATCAGGCTCTTACATTCCAAGTGAACCATTATCAATTTTTACGAAAAAAATAGATCAACAAAAGTAAATTTTTGTTCATTCAAATTTAAAAAGAGAGAGAGAAAGAGAGTTTGTATACACAATAAAAATTTACTATACAAAATGTATAAATTTGATGGAGAAGAATAAAAGAACTTTAAAAATACCATGTTCAACCATAAAATACTAAATATAGTGATCCTTTTGATAGGCTAGGAATTGCATCCATCAAAAGCTCAAAGATAAAAGCTTCTATTTATATAACATGCAATCTAGCCATGCATTGATCAAAATTACTTATTTAACCATTTCTCACTCTCTCTTAGAATCCCTTACAAAAAAATTATATTTTCAAAATATATCTGAATATCTAACTTTCATTGATTAAGTATTGTTATCCACTTAAACCTCCATCCAACAACCCCTCCATGCATAATTAAAATGCTCATATATTTATATATCACAGTGTAAAAAAGGCACATCTAAACCAAATATGGTTCACAACAATTAATGATTAAATAACTACTACAATCAACTAATGCACCAAATTGATCCACCTATTACACTTAGTTACTAATTATTCTTATCTAATTATTACTATGCAATTTATAATGTGATTCTCTTTGGAAAAACTCTTTGAACATATGACATCTAAGGCATCATGCCAGGCATGCAATCTCATGGCACTATAGCCATCTTTTATCTAATAAATATAAATATTTCTTTCATAAAAAGTTCTTTTTAAATTATCATTTAGATATATTGCATAAACTCTAGATTATCCCTTTTATTATTTTTCATAAGAATCCATCATATCAATCAACCTTTTAGGATTTTTCTTTTACCAAGACTACCATTCCTATGAGGTTGTTAATTTAACAAGTTTTATTGAAAAAAATGAAGAAAGTGGGTTTGGAAGAAAATGTATCACCATTCTTACTTTTTACAACCCCATCTATCCCAAAGCAAATAGCAAAAAAATGGCATCCTCTCAAATAGTGAGGGAACACCATCTATATTATTATTATTATTATTATTATTATTATTACAAAAATATTTAAATAAAAAATAACAAGCACAAAACAACCAAGCTAACATAAAAAAACTATCCAAAATGTAAAAACTAATAACATCGAAATAAGCAAAACATACTTACAAGCAATTATGTTAAAAACTATAGATTTTTACTTGATATTATTTGTAAAAAAAATAAATAAGATATTTCTTACCATCACAATCATTCTCCTCTTCTAATACACTAAGTGATTCAATGCCATCAGTTACATTATCATCTGTAACTTATCTTTGTTCATAATAGAATAATTCAACATTGTTAGGCTTCATTTCAACACATGAGCAAAAAACATTTTTTATATAGAAGAAAGAGAATTATCAACAAACTACTAGGTAAATAGTCCATCAAGGGATGATTAAACAAAATATATCCATACTCTATATAAAAATAGCTTAAGGGCTATGAAACTTTTGTGAGGACTGTAGTATCATTTTTGTTCTAATTAAGTCTATGTCATTTTATTATAATTAATAATTTTACCAATTAACGGTAATCCTTGTTTACTTAAAAAAATATATCTATAATCATAATTAATTGATTATATAACTTACATGACAATTGCTTGTGGTGGAAAAACTAGTTTTTTTATTTTTTAAATAGATACCGCCCAGCTATGTAATCACTTTGATACAAAGGTCAAAAAACATAATCATATTAAATGCATCATGCATTCATTATCACTAATGCCTAGAAAAGTCCAATTTAAAGTAAGCTTGCAAAAAAAAAAAAAAGAAGCTCATGAATAGCACAATAGTTTATTAAAAATCTAGAATTAACATGAATTCTCTGCTTAACTATAACGTTAAAAAAAGAAAATACCTCCTTTTATAGGCATTAGCAATAAATTTGTAATTAGAATTAAGTTTCTTCAACAATTTATCATACATTATTGGCTTCTTGTAATTCATTTCCTCTTAACCAACACCACTAGAGTCTTCCCTAGATGATTCCTCTGTATTGGATAGGTAAATGAAATTCAAAATATTTTCGGATGAAATAGTCGAATAATTAAAATTACTAAATCTCATCAACAGAACATCAAGCTAATGGGCCAAAGTCTCAGAGTCTAAATATTATATTAAAAATTGAAAATTGAGTGAAAGTTGTAGTCTTGAAAGCAAACAACAAGCAAAAACAAAAAAGCTTGAGTTGAGAAGTCCATAAGCAGCCTGTAATAGAATAATAGCTAGGGGCCTTTCAATTTTTTTACTACATTCTTTGATGTATCCATAGTTAGTTTCCTATGATGTAGAGTTTGCTATCATTCCAGTGACACTATCAAAAAGATTAAAAAGCAGGGCAAGAAAATGAGTTTGAATAAAGTTCGCTCTCTTTTTTGCTAAGCCAGTACCAGTGCCTTCACCAGCCTCTCCAATTGCAGCAGTCATAAGGTAAAGACTTCTATAAAAAAGGTAAGCCCTGCCAGCGAGTGTAGTAGTAGTTTCTCCAGTTTAGTCTAATAGAGATGGGGCGGCTATAGACTGACGATAATACATTTTTTTCTCTTTCCTTTCAATCCTTTCAAGCATTCCCTTTACAGCAATGTTAAGCTAAACATATCCAATTGAAGTCGTTTTGTTTATTGTACAGCTGCTGTCGCTCCTGGAGTTGCATTGGAAAGCTAAGCTCATGGAGCAGAAAAGAGAAAGTTCCCTGACATCATCTAGAGAGAGGGCCAGCTCCCAGACATCCAATCGCAGTTGGAGAGATTTTAGTTTGAGTGAAAATTATAGACCCTATTCCTGCTAAGCTTATTGCAATCTCTTTTTCATCATTTCTAAGGTTAAGTGTAGCCCTCTTCTTGAAAGCCAACAAGGGCTAGGTAAAGGGGCACCATCAAGTGATCAAGGGACTAGTTTTAGCAAACATCATAATGATTAAAAATCAAAACTAAAAGGAAATGGGTTTTGAAGTGTAAATCTATTGATAATTCTATTAGCAGATCAATTAGAATAGAAAACAATGTAGTCAAGAAACCATAAAATTAAACAAAATCATGCAATATAAAAAAGCTATATGATCAACATGCCTAACAAATGAGGTGAGAAGCGACAAGCAACCTCATTTCTAACACATTTTTTATATCTTATTGGTGCACTTATCTCAAACTTATGTGATGAAAGCAATCATTGGTATTGAAAGTTTAACATAAATAGAGCACGCATGGGAATTGACTATGATCATGGCACAAGGAAGTTGGCAGAAGCTATGGTTCGAAATGCAATTAGAGGCACGCACGAGGCATACATGAGTTCAAATCATTGACTAACAAGGTCATCAAAGTAGTGGACAAAACCATTAAGGGAGCACACGTGCCTATTACTAATTAGCTAGCTAATATTCCAAAACTTTCATAGCTATTTTTCTATTAGATTCTTGTAATTAGAAATCAAGAAAAGCATGAGCTTATATATACACACTATTGTATTGAAGGATATATGAATGAAAAAAAATCTACTTTTTTCTTTTTTATATCATTCTCTAGTCTCTCATTCTTCTCTCAACTTCTCATTACATTACAACTTATCTAGTGTCGTATGCCTTTTCAATCATGCTTTAAAAGTCAACCAATAAATGTTTTTTTTAAATAAAATATTAGAAAATATAAATCATTATTGTAAAGGAAAGATGAGAGCATCTCATTTTGCATCAATTGTTTTCCCATGGTAATGCTTTTAATGTTTGTTTTGGTTAGATCCTCTTCTTCGAATACTTAAACCAATGTTTTCTAACTTAAAATGAGAGATGATAAACCCTAAACCCTATTAGGAGTTTAGGGTTTTAGACTTGAGATGAGCATTAAAAGAAGGTAAAAAAGTGTATTTAAATAATCGGTCTACTTAATATGAAAAAAATTTTCTAAATGCACCCCAAATTTTACTTTTCATATCTCATATATTTTTTAACTTTTTTAAGTGAAATTATTTAATCATTATTTTTCATAAGTTTTTAGATTCATATCAGATAAAATTTTTAACTTTCCTAAAAGTTATATAACTTTTAGAAAATTCATTATAAAATTACCAAAAAAAGAATTTTATTAAAATTTTTTATCAATTAGTGCAATGAAAAAATTTATTATTAAAAAACTTATAAATTTTAAAATTAATAAAAATTAAGTTGATTTTACTTTTTTGCCTTTAAAAAAGTAAAATCTTATGAAACCTTGATTAAACATTTTGTCTTTTGATGTTAAGAAAATGATGAAGGAACAACTGAAAGCTAAAATTCTTATAAACTGTATAAGCAATATTACTTAATATTACACAATTTTATCAAAATTTATATGCTAATCAAAAAAATTCATCATGATAAAAAAGTTTAATTTAGTTACAGTTATTATAAAAATTTAATAATCGATATTAAAAAAAATTTTATTAAAAATGAATTTTAAATTTATAAAAAAAATTTATTTATTATTTTATCCTTAGTTTAATTAGGATCTTAAAATTTTATTTTTTAAGATCAAAATAGTTAAATTAATTTTTTTATTACTTTTAAAATTTATAATTTTTTCAATAATAATTTTTTCATTACACTAATTACTAAAAATTTTTAATAAATCTTTTTTTATAATTTTTCTTAAACCTTCATTCTCTTCTTTTTTGAAAATCCATTTTCAATATAACTAGAAAATTTGTCAGACATTAATGTTCGAAAACTTATAAAAAAAATAAATAATTTAGCTTTAAAAAATTAAAAATAAAAAATAGAGATGTAAAATGAAAAATCGGATCGCTTAACTGTGTCGTTGTGGGGTAAAAAGGCAGTCGGGCTGGCTCGGCCTATTCAGCCCTTTGAAGTTAAAGCCAATTTATTTCAGACGAAATCAGCAAAAGCAAAAATTTCACAAGCTTGTGGGACTCACTCACCCGCTGCATCATCACTGAAATTTCACAAAGGTTGCCTTTCTTTACTCTCCTTCTCCTTTTTGATTCAATGCGCTTTCTTTCTTTCTTTCTTTCTTTCTTTCTTTCTTTTTATTTTTCAAATTTCCTTTTGAGATTATATATATTTGATTTGGTGTTTATCTTTTCTGGGTTTGTGGGTTTTGTTGTATGTTTTATTTGTTCAAATTATTCAAAACCCTAATCACATCTAGCAATGGAATCCTTGATATATTTTTAACATTTATTTGGCTTGTTTTCATGGGTTAATAAGGTTATTTTTCTTTAGTTAATTTTTTTTTTTTCTAATCAGGCAATCGCTGTAGCAAAATGGCGCTCAGGCTGGTGTCTAAGAATTTCAGGAATAAAGTTTCGCCCATGCTCTCTTCTGCTTCTTTACTGCATTCACATGCCACAAGTTTTGGTATCTCTCTGCCTCTTTCTTTCTCTACAGAAAAAATTTGTTTATTTAATGATTATTCATTTTTGTCTGTCACTTTATTTGAAGATCTTAGAATATCTCTTTGTATGTTTCTTAGTCTGCATGGATGCCTTTGTGCTTCTGCTTGAGACCTTATGCTGTTTTAACTTCTTTTTCTTTTCTTTTTGTTTGTGCCATGCAATGTGGAACTCTGAATTACTGCAGGCAACTTTAACTTAAATGGAAATGTGACAGACAGCTATATTTTGTAGCACAGAAACCGTGAATTAGAGGCTTGATGCTTAATAAATAGGATATCCAAAGATGGATCCATGGAAATTTGGGTTTATGAAGTAGTTATTTGTTATAACTCAGAGGTTAACAATTCTTGATATTGCATTTATGCAATAGGTTACTCGTCAGGATCCATAAACCACAGGCATATAGGATGTTCTTCACTCTTAATGCTTCAACACTTCACCCTGTAAATGTATCAGTATTCCTTGAATTACACTGTTTCACAATCATTAATTCTGTTGAATGAAGCTTACTAGCATTGCATTTTTAGGGTTTAAAGAAGTACGAGAAGAAGAGAAAAGCCAAATGGTTGGTGAAGTCTTTAGCAAAGTTGCTTCGAACTATGATCTCATGAATGACCTGATGAGTGCCGGATTACATAGACTATGGAAGGATAGGTTAGATTTTCTATGGTTGTTTCTACTTATTGTTTCATTTTTGTCATCTACTTTGCTTTCTTGTCATGTTTTGGTGACTTATGCAAAATTTATATCAGACTGGTTTCCAAACTAAGGCCATTTCCTGGAATGAAACATCTTGATGTTGCTGGTGGAACAGGTAGGCTCACATTCTGAAACAAAATATATGTTGTATCTGTGCAGTGGAGAAAGTGTAAACATCAGAACAAGAAATATTGTATGGAAAAGTAAAATATTTAAGAACTCAAAATTGAACAAAAAAAGAAAGCTAACTGGTATAGTTTTGATAGAAAATGATTAATTTGGATAGTGTAAGTACGTTAAAGAATGCTCATAGTAGGGTGTCCTAGGAATTTGAAGTTGGTTAATATTTAAGCTAATCATTAATGTGGAACTGAGCTCCTTTATAAGAAATTTGTCGGTCCTTTTCTCTAATAAAATCAAAATGAGGCAGGTGATGTTGCTTTCAGGATTCTGGAAAGTGTTAGCAGCATCAGACGCAGAGCATTGCAAGAACCAGTCGATGATGGCTTACAGGAAGAAACTCAGATATATGTATGTGACATTAATCCAAACATGTTAAATGTTGGAAAAAAGCGTGCCATAGAGAGAGGTGAATAAACTAGTAACTTAATTGTTGAATGAATTTCACAATATCTCTTAGAGGTAAAGAATTATCCAGGAGGAGAGATATCACCCAATTTTCTGGATGCCCTAATTCTTTTTCTCTATTGTTTTTTTTTTTCCCATTTCCCCATTTTCCTGTGCTTATAGGTCTTGCAGAAGATAAATCTCTCACATGGGTGCAAGGAGATGCAGAAGCCTTAAGTTTTGGTGATAATTCAATGGATGGTTACACCATTGCATTTGGAATTAGGAATGTCACTCACATAGAGAAAGTTCTTGCTGAAGCTTATAGGTGACCTTACAACTTTTTTGGCCTCCTTTTCCCTTGGTTCACACTAGCTTTTGATCCATAGACCTATCTGATATATTTTAATTTCCTCTAAGAAATCAAACCCTGATAAAGTAGTTAGAGAAACCAGTTCTATAACTTGGAAGCAAATGGGACATTTTCTTCCTTGTGACCAATATTAAATCATGAGTTTAGATATGTCTATGAGCAAGAGAGTCAAAAATTCACTACATGTTTTACCTTATAAGCCCAGTTGAACATACAAGCATGTGTGTACATAAATTTCTCATTTTTGGTGAAGTAAACTTGAGAAATACTTACTTACCTGTTCAATTGATGCTTAAAGAAGCAAGGAGGTAGACTGCCCAAATGTGGCATGAATTCACGGGGCTAACAATCTACCCAGTAGCATAAATGTATGTGCCCTTGAGTTTACCTTTTGCTCCTAACCAGTTTAATGTTAGATGAATTATGTAAGTAACTACAAAATATTGTAAAATGAGGTATGAAGCTGACTTAATTGCTTTGTTATTAGAAATAGCTGCAGTTTCTGTGTAGTTGTAATTTTAGGTCCATGGTTCAGCAATAGATTATTTATTTTTCTTTTTATTGGATGATAGACTCTGAATTGAAATGAATTATATTATATGGCCACTTGTGAAGATGATTGCATGTGAAGAGATATAACGTTCCATTGCCGGCTGCATTTGCTTTGTTCTTTATCTCATAATTATAAGAACTCACTGCCCATTTGTGCAGGTGTAAGCATAAGCCGATGGTTTCAGCAATAAACTTTCCTTTCTTTTCTTTTTATACTGTGAATTTAAATTTAACAATACTTGGTTGCATACTTGTGGACCCACTTTTATGCAATCAATAAACTGTTCCATTGCAAGCTCTATTTTCCTTGAATATTGGGTCTTTTGCATAGTGGAATACGGTTTGTGTTATAGTTTATATAATGCTAGCATCTTTCTCTCTCTCTCTCTCTCTCTCTCTCTCTTAGGGTTTTGAAACGGGGAGGAAGATTTCTTTGTATTGAACTGAGCCATGTTGAAATTCCTGTATTTAAGGAATTGTGAGTATCCTTTCACACTTTTCATATAGATCAGAACTATTCGATGAAAACATTTCAAACATATACCATGTATAAAAGTGTCCTAAGCCACTTTTGTGGAGACTAAATTACCATTTTACTTTAGATGAAATTTTATTTTGTTATTTTATTGTTATTAAAGTTAGTCTATATTATACTGAATAGGGTCCTTGTTCTGTTACACTATTGTAACCTTTAAGTCAGTGATAAATCCTAGAAACTAATAGATTGAGAATCTTTCTTTTCCTTTTTCTGGATAAGTAAAGCAGGAGAATGATTATTTAGTAAACTTAAGTTGAAAATAATTATTAATGTTTCACAGAGCTCCTTATTTTGCTAGAGTAACTTCTAAATAAGTAAATGATCTGATTAACCTAAAATTGCACATCAAATAGAAGCAAGTCGTAAAAAAAAAAAACCTAGTAGATCATTGGAGTTAACTTAAAGATATCTTAGTTTATAAGCAAGGCCTTTATATTCTCTTAGTCAATGCTTGATTGCATTTCTCAATGTCAATAGTTTGGTGGATTGAAACAGCAATCTCTTATTCCCTGACTGCTCCTTGATTAATGATGTGGTTACTCCTTTTTTCTTTTTTTCTGAACTCTGAATTAGTAACTGAGAATCAGTAGTAGGCTTCTCTGTGAATTTTGATGTGTTAACTCAGAACCACTTGAAGTTTTGATGTCATCTCTCTCTATCAGTACTTATTCCTGTATACGCAACTAGTGCACATGCTCACAAAGTTAAGTAAAATAATAAGAATTTTATCTCAAGTTACAACTGATAATGATCAATCTTATTTGGTTTCACCATTAATGTGACAAATTATTTCATAGTATTAATGGAGCTTTCTCTCAACCTTTCTATGTTTATTTTCCCTCTTTTTATCAGACATGGGTGACTTTAGCCTTATTCTAATGGTCTTTATTCTCCCCTTATGCAGGTATGATTTTTATTCCTTCTCTGTTATTCCTCCACTAGGGGAGCTTGTTGCAGATGATCGAGAATCCTACCAGTACCTGGTTGAGAGTATCCGCCGATTTCCCCCACAGGTCATAACTTGGTCCTTCATACTTATTTTGACTTCTGAGTAATATGCAATTAGTCAAGGATTTTTATTACCTGAACAAATGAGTTGCTTTGGAACGATGACTATTTTTTCTTTTAAATGTTTGTGCCCCATAATTATAGCTATAACTTGGGTTTATTGCATCAAGTTATTCTAGTTGTATGCACTTGGCTAGAAAACATGATGCAATACAAAATATATTGAAGATAATGAGCAAAGTAGCTAACTCATAACTCATCTTGAAAAAATTGTGTTCTAGGAACTAGTGTTATAACTGCAAACAAATAGGTTTTATTGAAAGTCAGCCAATGGACGTATAGATAGACATCTCTTCTAAAATTAAGCTTCCTCTTTCTTCCGGACAAAATAAATTCCAGTTAATACATCTTAGAAAACCAGCTAGAACATAAGATGTTAAAAATCTGGAAGTCTCATTGCAAGCGCCTGTTTCTGTTTCAATAATTGTTCATAAATAATTATGAAAATTGATGAATGCAGGAGAAATTTGCTTCAATGATTGCAGATGCAGGATTTCAGAAGGTCGAGTATGAAAATCTTGTTGGGGGAGTGGCTTCCATTCACTCTGGTGTAAAAATTTGAAGGTTTGTCCGGCAATTCTTGGTCCAGCCTTTCCAATAATCAATTATTTTATACAGTTTTGCGACCAACTGATGCTTTTAGCTTTGCTTCTATCGTTTAGAGAAAAGATTTTTAGATGGCATGGCATATTGACTATAATCTGAATTTAAGTTAGTCATCTTTTTCAAGACTTAGGGTTTCTAAATTGCTGATTGAAAATGATTCTCTTAAATATGGTGAATTAAATTAAATTTCCTCAATGGAGATCACCGAAGAAATCCATTTTACATTTAGAAGCTTTAAAATTGCATGTGGATGGTTGGCAAATTATTCATATTCCGATAAGAACATTTCACCTCCAATTAATCAATTAAAGTTCAGAATTATGTGAAGTTTATTATAATTTTATGTGAAATTCACATTTAAGTGGTGGACTACTTACATTTTTTTTTTTTGGTCAGTGGACAATTATAAAATTGTAGTAAAAAGAATTGCAAGTAATACACTCCTTGAGACCAAAGATATTGTAAATGGTCTTGCTAAGTCTAGTATAATAGATTGCAAATTTTGACTGTGTTAAATCCGGAATATAATTCAATTTATTTATATAATTATTCTTAAAAAATTACATTTAAGCTTTATTTAGTATTGCCTGTTTTTAAGTGTAACAAATTTAAAGTGTTTTGTATACTTTCATTGTCTTCATAGAGGCTTGTTATTGCTGATATGCTTTTGATACTTCATTTTCATCTAATGAAGTAAATTTGACTTCAATAATAATAATAATAATAATAATAATAACAAAATTAAAAATGATTAACAAAACATACATAATTATTGAAGGAGAGAGTTTATTGCTATTAATTATGTAACACATACGGCATGAAATTTGAGGTCAATGATGACCATTATCGATGCACTTATATCGGCAATGGCACGAAATACAAGGAGGAAGACTAGCAAATCCATAACCATTCTGAGGACTAGGGTATTTGGCAGCATATCTTGGATACAATCTTTGTTGACATGGATAAAATTTACACCAAGTTTTACAAGAAGTTTGTAAAATGTCTTATTATTAAAAATGAATAAATAAAAATTTTAATAAAAATTTAATTTTAATTTTTATTTACTTATTTTTTAAAATATTTCATGAACTTCATTTATAAAATTTAATGAAAAGTCTTTTCCAGTAGTCACAGTCAGAAGAACCAATGTCCAGGGCCACTTGGCAGGTTTTAATTTTTGGTGGAGAGATGTCACGTGACCTTTACCCCCGCCATGCCTCAAGGAGCACCTAAATCTTCTGCGCATACTTCCCCTTGTATTCTTTCCAATATTTGCTTATAGATGTAAATGATATATTAATATTCGTAAGTTATTCGGATTCGATTTGAAGAAAATTCGAATTCGGTTCGATTGTTATCGAGTGAAATTCGAGTTCGAATAGATCGACTTATCGATCGAGTCGAATTTAAATATTTTTATATTCGATTCGAGTAACTCACGAACTTAATTGAATTTTTATATTTAAATATATTTTAATTATTTTAATTAATAAAATATTTCGAGTTTGAGCATAAATAATTAAACTTTTATCGAGTATATGAATCGAGTTTAATCGAACGAGTTCAAGTAATTCGAATTCGATCACGAATCGAGTTCGAGTCGAGTATCGAACTTCGAATTATGAGTTGAGTTCGAACTCGAGCTTCTCATTATATCGATTCGATTCAATTCGATTACACTTCTAATTGTGCCTAATTAAATATATTCGACAACTGTCATCATGTTAAAATAAATTAACACAAAATATATAATATTAGAGAAATTATTTGATTTAATGTTAATGAAATTATTAAATTTTAATGTAAGTGGGATTACTAGGGTAGCACATACCCTTTAAGGATTAGGTATAACTTTCATTAACTACATTTGAAAGCAATACTATCCACAGTCAATTACTAAAAACAACCAAATTTCAAACCCATTTTAAAGAAAACTGATCAAGACAACTAAAAAAACAATATCACCGTTTAGCTTTTAACCCTCATATCCATATTCATATTTATATCTGTATTCGTATTTGTATGCATTTCAAAATGGATAAATACATGTTATCTGTTCTTTTGAAATGCATATGAATGTGCATAACCGCATTCAAGTCCTAAAATGCATTTTGATTCTATTAGGTATTCTTGTTTTTGTTTTTATCAAATAGAATTACTTGGACTTGCTTTTTATTCCAAGCCATCAGCTTGTTGCCGGGATCACTGTTGTAGTTCCTGCATCGACAATGTCACTAGAGTGATTAAAAACATGGAAAACAATAATTTTTTTCTCTTATTCATATAGTTGTAACAAAAGAAGCATCAGAAACAATGAATTCAATCCCTTGGCTTACGAAGTTAATTCTAACATAAAGTCTCCTATCAGGCAACATCATCCAGGATGACAATAGGGTGAAGAACTATAGCTTTCACTCATTCAGGGATCACAAGAGTTATGATGAGGTAATAAGTGGCAACCAACCAATCGAAAGAACAACAACTCATCAACAACCAAAGCCCAATATAGATATTGAAGTGGATGAAGATGATTGTGATTGGTTAATGAGGGATGCTGTTGGTTCTCTTCATGGCTATCTAGAATTCAGAGTTATTCAACAATGTTTTTTCAGTTAAGGGGTGTTGGATTTCAACATTCTTTTTATATGTGGAAAATTGCTTTTGTTAACTCTTGAAAGAGCAAAATTTTGGCTGCATATAGATCTCCCAATGTATAATCTTTAAATTACTATCTTTGGTTAAAATAAAACCTTTAAACCTCGAAGTATTTACTACAACTTACAAAAATACATAAGAGAATACCTCACAATCCCAAATAATCTTTAGATTTTATAAATGATAATTAAAATTATTTCTCAAAGGTTGAGTATTTGTTAATTTAATACAATAAAAGATAAATGAAAATTAAATACAACGATTGGAATAATTAAAGCAATAAACACTTGAAAACTATTAAATTGCTCGGAGGAACAATTTTTGCACTCGGAGAGAATTTGGAGACGTTTGGGTGTGGTGGTGGATATAAATCAGCTAGTTACATTTTTTGAATTAATTATTAGGTATCGATTAGTATCATTTTTAAGATTATTATAGTGACTTAATTAATATAGTGATAAATAGACATGTGCAAAGATTGGATTATCTATTCAAACTTGAAGGTCCATTCAAGTTTTGAAAGGAATTGAACAAAAAATTAAAACCTGTTAAATAGGTTTAGACATAATTTTTAGATCCGTTTAAATTTTGGATCAAGCTTTAAATAAAATATTTAAAACTCAAGCTCGACTTGATTCAGTTCCAATTCACATATATAAAAATTTTTTATTTTTATATATATGTAAATAAATAAATTAAAAATATAAATTATATTAAATTTAATTTTTACATTTATATAATTTTTATTTTTAATTTATATATATATGTGTGTGAATTGAATATAATCCCCATTAAATTTAATTTAATCACATTTATTTATTTTTTTGTTATGTAAATTAAGTTTAATGTATGAGTTTAGGATTTATTTATTTAATTTGGGTCAAGTTTAAAAAAATTTTGAGACATTAAATTTTGGGTTGAGTTGGGCTAAATATGAACAAATATATAAATTATTAATACCAAGTATGAGCCAAAACCCGACCTAACTCGGCTCATGAACACCTCTAGTGATAAGATCACCAAGATGATTTGATTATCAGTGATTTTAAATTATTATATTTGATACAATATTATAAATTATTAGTGTTTTTAAATTACTGTGTTTAATATTATATAAAAAAATAAATCATATAATATAAAATATACAAAATAACCTTGTAAAAAACGTAAAATATTTAGTATTTATTAATTCAAAAATTCATAAAATAATTAAATATTATTTTATGTAAAACTACAAAGTGCAAATCAATTTTTGATAAAAATAATTTCTAAGCAAAATTAAATAGATTCATTATTTTTTTTTCTAATCGGTATAAATTTATAACATAAAACATTCTTAAAATAAGTGATTAAAAATTTGATTTTAATTTTTAGTAGATAGTTTTTGGGTAATATTAACTATATTTTTTGTGACGATAAATTAATCAAAAAATAATATTAAAAATTATTTTTTTACAGTGATAAAATTTTTTTATCTTTTAAGTTAGGAATCAGATCATTTTCTAAAGCAATGATCGTATCATCCTAATAATTTAATATTACAATTACATAAAATTTTTAAATTATTATCAAATAAATTGATGTAATTATTGAATGCAAATTACTATAATTTTAAATGAATTATTTCATAACAAATACTTTCTTGTCAAACACCAAGAGACCGGTCCAATTTTTTATCAATTCAAATTTTAGCTTTGACGAAACTAGGGGATCGATTTTTTTTAGAACGGATCACTACCATTGAATTTTGCAACTTTTGGGACATTTTAAAAAATAAAATATTTCGAGTTTATTGAATTAAGTTATAAAGCGGAGTCAACCATGGGTTTGAAAATTCCCTTATATATATATATATATATATATATTATGTATTAATATTAAATAAACATACAAATTTTGTTTCCGAAAATCCAGAACAATGAATCAGGTAACAAAATCTGTTTTTTTTTTATAAATCAAGTAATAGGTGTAATTAAAGGTGTAATCGAACTGAATCGAGTCGATACAGTAAGAAGCTTAAACTCAAGTTCGACTCATAACTCGTAGCTCAATACTCGGCTCAAACTCGATCGAATTTTATTTTTTAAGTTCGAGTTCGATTCGTGATTGAATTCGAACTATTCGAACTCGTTCGATTAAGTGCGATTAATATGTAAAAATAAGTTTGATTTGTATACTTGACAAGAGTTCGATTATTTATGCTCGAGCTCGAACTTGAATTCGAAATATTTTATTAATTAAAATAATAAAAATATATTTAAATATAAAAACTCAATTAGGTTCGGAAGCTACTCGAACCAGATATAAAAATACTCGAATTTGGCTCGATCGATAAGTTGAGCTACTCGAGCTCGAGCTCGACTCGATAATAATCGAATCGAATTCGAGTTTTCTTCGAATCGAACCCGAATAACTTACGAATATTAATGTATCATTTACACCTTTAGAAGCAATTCTCTATATATTTTTTATATAAAAAAAATCCTCTAATTCAATCTCTTTGAGAAGTGATGTTATGTGAGAGAGTTCCAAAAGAATTTAATTACTTTGATTTTATTTTTAATTATTTTAATTTAATTAAAAATAATATTGAAGATGGATCATGGATAGAATTTAATTGGATGATCTATTCTTGAATTCTTATCGATTAAGCAATGCGTTTTCATCTTCATCTACCAAATAATTTTAATAAATTTTTAATTTTTTTATTTAACCAACTAAAATTAAATTTAATTGATTAAAATATTTTAACCAAAATTTTGATGCCTACAAATGCCCTCACTAGAGATATAATTAATCAAGTTTGAGTAGATATAATATTAAGCTCAAACTTAATTTGAAATTTGAAATTCGAAACTCGATTCAAATTTAATCAAATTTAATTTTTTTAACTCAAACTTGATTCAAGATAAAAATCAAATTATTCGAAATCACTCGATTAGATCCGATTAATATATAATAATAAGTTCGATTCTTATATTCGACAAAAATTTAATTATATGTATTCAAGCTCGAATTTGAGTTTGAGATATTTTATTAATTAAAATAATAAAAATATTTAAATATAAAAATTCAATTAAGCTCATGAGCTACTCAAGTCATGTAACTCGAGTCAGGTATAAAAATACTCAAACTCGACTTAATCAATGAGTTGAACTACTCGAGTTCGAACTCAACTCGATAATAATTAAACCGAATTCAAATTTTATTCGAATCGAACTCAAATAACTTACGAGTATTAATGTATCATTTACATCGTAATCTTCACTTCAAGATATGGATGTGTGTATTGGTCATATACTAAAACCAAATCTTGACGTTCATGGTAAATGTCATTACATTTTAGTATAACAATAATGCTGAATTAGAATTTTAGATTTACTCAAAGTAAATCTAAAGTAAATCTCTTAACATAATAATGCTTGAGAGTAAAACAAATCATTTCCTTTGTAAAGTGTTTTGTAATGTCAATTTTCAAATGGATGATTGGCCATGTCAATTCTTCTTTAATCCTAGCTTTTTTTTATTCTATTTAAAAAAGTTTAGGAACAAGGGAGATTATATAAATTTTAACATCAAAATAGATTACCAATTCAATTGGGATTTA